AGAGAGAGAGAGAGAGAGAGAGAGATGTATATGCTGGATTGGACATTGCAAGGGATTACGCGTAGTCTTGGGTGCCAGTGCCAACAAAAGACATAAAGGAGTAGGGGCCAGGGATTTCAAGGAGTTCCCTGGATTTGCAATCTGCCGGTAGCTGTATCAAGGTAAGCCACGAGGAATGGAGGGAGAAGATTCAGCAAAAACCGGATAGTGGTTCATAAGGATTTGAAAGTATGATACGAAGACATCAGTTTAAACCTTACATTTCTTTCCTAAGTAAGATTGGGGAGGACTGGTTTAAAGGGTAGGTCTGGAAGAGAATATGTTGTTAAGCACCCAAAAATCATCCAAGGAGAACCAACTTTGTCCAAGAGCAATTTAAAGGTATTCCAGCCCAATCCGCCTGCTTGCTGAAAGAAAGAAAGTCCATTCATAAGATACTAGCTACGAAACATATTTTAAAGGTGGACAAACATGGTTGGCGATGGGGAGGTTCTGTCCACAAAACATGCAGCAAAATGCCACTCGTGCATTTGTTGGGATGAAGCAATTTATTAGAGCGAAGAGCGAAGAAGCTCATAGGGGTCAAACCAGTTATATTGATAACTGCTTCAGCTTGACTTCTTCGGGACATGAAGCTACCTTTAAAATTTCCCTAGCAGTAGTTTAAAAAGTCCTTTGTAAATTGAAAGAAGGCCTATCTGACAGCAGTCATCTCGATGCAAGTTCAGCTGACATAGAGGTATAGCGGCACACCAGCCAATGTGGTGTCATCCAGAGTCCAACCCAGCTACAGAGGGAGTAGCTAGACCAGATGTGAAGCAGCTGCCAAGTCAAACCAGCTACTTCATCCCAATTTAGAGACATGGATTAGACTTTACCTACATTGCACCCAAAGGAGAACAAACTCCTTCCAGTTAGCATATCTAAAGGATTACAAACTCATTCTAGCTAGCATACACATTCTAGCTTCAATCTCCTCTTCTCTTGTCTAGTGCCCCCATATGGAAAGCAAGTGGATATCTCATGAAATAGGTAAGTGCCCTTATCAAGTACTGGCAAAACATACATATCATAGAAGCAAAGAAAAACATATAAACTACATTTGTGTAACCAGACCTCATTTCAGCACTTGCAGGAAATCCTTTGCTCAAATGTCCATGACATCCCCTCTCTTTCCTTTGTTGCCTGATAAGAGCCATCACAGCAGCCGCTTCCTCAGCAGTACCAAATTCCATCAACAAAGCACTTTCACTGGGAAGGTCAGTGACCATGCAAGGGCTCCTCAGGCCTGATGCAACTATTTCATGTAAAATTGTTTCTTTGTCTCTTTGGCTTAGAACCCTGCCAATATAGACATGGCAGCTTGCTCCAACAGCAGCACCACCAATAGCACCTCGGCTACCCAATCCCACATCCAAAAACTTTACTCGAAGAACAGAACCCCAAGGGGAAGTTCCTAGCATGCATTCACGAGCCTTTACAGCATCCATTATGTTTATATATCCAATCAGGCCAAAGCCCTGAACAGCAAAGAACAAAAATTGATCAATAGGACCAAACCTCTCAAAATGCGATCTCACTAAAGCTTCTGTGGCATCACGCCCTGGAGAACCCAACCAAAGTTGCCTGGAAGCAGAAAAGACATCCATGGCAGCAGGATCCCCATCTGAATACCAAGCAATATGACCAGTTACTGGAGATGAATGAGATGGAAGGTTCAAAGGCTGCATAGGAGAAGATCCAATACTAGAAGCACGAATAGATCTCATGGCAGGGGAGTTCAAATGTTCGACATACAAATTATGGTTCTTCTCATCCTGAACTGTGTGGACTTCTCCATCACATGAAGCAACCTTTGGGGTCAGTAACTTCTTACCAACCATATTTTCCTGCAGTAAAGGTCTATCTCTGCCTAAATCTGGTTGTTTGGAGCCTTCACAGTGCTTTGCGGAAGATATGCGACCACTCTCATGACTAAAACTTTCTTTGACTAAATTTAAGTTCCCTATGGCTGAAGTAATTACACTGCTGATTTTTGAGTTTTGATCAAAATTCTTATCAGATGTATCCATATCATCATTAGGAGCATCGACAACACGGGCACCATCTCTTTTCAGAATGTAGTCCCTTCGAGGCAAGTCAGCAGAATCACTATGCCCGCTAGCAATTTGGAGCTTCACATAGTTGTGAGTAATATATTGTGTGTCCACATCTGAATCATTGTCTTCTTCACTATTGGTGTCAGAAACTGCTTGTGAAAATGATTCAAAAATTGTTTCCAGTGCTGCAGTAACCTCTAGCAAGGCTTCTGGAGAAGCGGAGTTATGAAATGTCTTGTATCTTGATAGGATCCAAGTTCTTACAGAAGGCTTTTTATGAATCACCTACATGTAACAAGCAGAAACAGCCAACTAGGTTAACATTGTTTTAAGGTCAACAATTTATACATCAAAAAGTACAGATTTTTTCCCTGTTCTAAGATGCCAGATAAAGTGATTATAATCATTGGCTCGCTTGGCAAATAATAATTTAAAGATCAGTTCAAGATATCAAAAAGCATATTGCAACACATGTCATGGAGAAATGGTAAAATAGTAGCACAAAATCATAAGTTGCACATATTCAACGAAAACTGTGCATACCCATGATTATCATCGAGTTGTAAATACGAAACAGAATGAAATGATCTAGAGTTCTTGCTCTCTGGTAGAAGGGAGAAAAACCAAGCCCTAGGCATTACTAAAGGAAAAGAAATCACATCATCAGAGTCAGGATGATTAAATTTGATTAAATGGCCTTGCAAACCACTTTATCCCAGTATGTGATTTGGTGCATGAATGATTTGAAGGCCCATCTATCAAATTAGAAAAGAATGAATTGAAGGCCTTAATCAGTGCTGTAATTGATGGGACACAATAGATGTAAGGAGTGTCAAGATTGCAATGCCACTTTCACATTGTAGCTTGTGTTTCAATCACATACTTTGTGCCAGGATCTCTTACTATGTACAGCCAGTATGAACCACTCATGTGGAGGGGAAATTGTAATTTGTCATTAGTCTAATGTGCAATAGGTTTTCACAAATCAAGTTCAGCCAATGCCCCTAAGAAGTGGTGGCGGCCAAATTCAGTCATTAATGACCCACATATAACCTAGGTGATCCCCAGATGAACCCTAGGTGGGTAGAAAACCCTAAGGCAACTTACTAGAAGGTTATGGACCAGTAAGAACCACTGAGTTTACAAGTTGCCTGCTTTCCAAATTATGATTAAGAATTAATTTCATATTGTGTTGCAAGATTTCTGAGAGAATTCTGCCTTTCGTACTGCGTAGAGGAACTACTTTCCTAATCTGTAAAGAATCTAGTTGCCTAATTATGGAATAATAAGAGTTTGGGGGATCTAGTTGCCTAATTATGGAATAATAAGAGTTTGGGGGATCTAGTTGCCTAATTATGGAATAATAAGAGTTTTGGGAATGTTTAGGGATACCTTGGGCTTCAACTGAAGCCATAAAAACAGATCCTAACCACTATAAATAAAGGTATAAGGCTAAAAGGCCATCCAGCCAAGAACTGAGAAATAAATTCGATTTCCAATTCAATGGCGAGAGACCCCAATGAAAGGAGTCCTGAACCCATCTTTGAGGTGAGATGCCTCAAATCTGAACCTATGTTGGTGAGTCACCTTCCAGAAAGTAGGCCTCCTTCAACTTGACATCTCTCTCTATTACCTTCTTCCCCCTCTTCTACCCATAGTTCATCCCCACCCCTTCTCTAGACCTCACATCCTCCACCAACCTTCTCTAAATTTCATTACCCTCATCTCTCCTCTCAAATCCCCATCTAGCCTGCCAAATCCTAGCTGACCCTATCCTCATCTTTGTCTCCAGACCACACCCTCTAAACCTTACCATGACACAAGCTCATCATTGATTTAAGACCAACTCTCTTGGTTCCTAAACAAGTATCTATAGCCATATATGAGTTGGTTAACAGGTTGGACTTAGTGTTCTGGTCATATTCTACGGATGGCAGTGTTACGAGTTGGCTAGGTTAGGGAAGGAGTTATATGAATCTAGGGTTTTGTCATTGGATGCACTTTAGACGTAGAGGAAGAGGTAAGAGATTTAATACTTAAATTTTGTTGATGGTCTATAGAAGGGTATTTATTGGAATTCTAGCATGTCTTAGTTGAAATGGAGAATAATGGATGGACAATGAGTGGAAAAAGAAAGGGCTGGTTGGATATCAAAAGGTATGACTTGAGCTAGAGAAATAATAGATATATGAGTATTAAGCCTTTGGGAACTCGCTAGTCTTTTCTAGACCATCAATAGGAAGAGGTTGGAGAGGTATTGATGGGTAAGTTGTAGAGCCTAGTGTTGCTGTTAAGAAGGTGGTTTTTATGGATATTTAAGAGAGTAGTGGGATTTTGGTTGTTTGGTGGTGAACAGAAGATGAAAATGTTAGGATAATTCAGCTCGATTTATGTGGTAGATGGGGGTGGTGTGTAAGTCTAGAAGAAGAGGTAAGGACCACTTCGGTTGGTCAAAGGTGGGGTTAGGACTGAGATAAGGTCTTGAGTGGGTATGGGAGGAAGATGGCGTTAGATATGACGGATGAAAGAAGCCATGTGGGATTTATTGATATTATGAAAAGAGGATGAGATGAGGTGGAGAGTGGGTACCACGTAGATGCTAGAGAGAGAGGTTTATGCATGGGGGAGTGGGTTTGAAGAAGGCTCCAGGCCTACCACTTGGAAGGTGCCTCGACTCACCAACCTAGTTTAGGGTTTGAGGCATACTACACTCTCCTCAAATGTGAAGCTCACCACCCAACTTGAAACTGAATTTATTTCTCAATTCTTGGATTGACAACCTACGGCCTTATACTTTATAGTAGTTAGGTTCCCTTACTATGGTCTAGCTTGAAGCCCAAGCTATCCCTTCCTCCCTCCTCGAGGACACTCTCCCCAAATGGGAATCTCGCTATCAATTTGAAGCTGAATTTATTACTTTATTACTCGATTCTTGGATTGATGGCCCATGGCCATAGACCTCTATTTATAGCAGTTAGGTTCCTTTTCTATGACCTAGCTTGAAGCCCAAGCTATCCCTCCCTCCCATCACCTTTTTTTTTAATCGTTAAGGACTCTTCTTCTATTAGAACCAGTGACCAGCTTGGGCTAACACATCTTAGGCATGTTAGTAAGGCTCGCCCAAAGCATCATACCACTGATTCATTGGCTTCACAAATTCCCACCCAACCAAAGAATGTCGACAGTACCTTCCCAAGATGCAAGAAGACTCTTCCAGTTCCTTTCTAAACTTTTTATTTTCATCTATAAACTTCCAGTTTTAATTAAATTAATGAGTTTAATTTTGATATCTAAACATTCCATTTTAAGATGGTCCTTGTTAGGCCACAACCTTCCAGAAGGTTGCCTTAAGGTTCATGCCTACATAGAGTTCGTTCATGAGGGGCCCACCTGTGGCTAACATGATCTTTCACCCCTTCTTAAAACCCTTGGCATGCCTGCAATCAAACTTCATCTTTAGTCCGCATGCCATCCACCACCCAGCCTCTTCTTCATTTCTGTTCTGCCGAAAACCAGTAGCCTATCACCTTCACCTTTATCCAACCTATAACTAGTGTTACCCCGACACTTCATATTTTCTTTGATGTTGCATGTCGACACTCCATAACGCTCGCCCAACACTTGTCCATATGTGTCGAGTGACATCCCTAGTGTTTAGAACCGTGTCGACACCTCTTTCAGAAGTGTCTTATATAATAACTTGCAACTTCGAATCATAAGAGCTTTAAAGTTTACCCTGTAGAACACCCTAGCATTTAAATTCTTCGTCAATTGTTAGATTTCTACTGGTTGCATCTTTTTGGCCCATTCAAGCAAGCCACTTGGGGTGCATTTTTTGCAATGTTAAAGCAAGCCATATGAGGTGAGAGAATTTAATTTTTTAAAGCCCTACAGAAGTACTAAGTAGTTTTAAAATTTAAAAAGTACCTTAGCTTATCTTTGGCTCTAAACCTGGGACCACTTGAATGTAAATAGCCACAACTACCACTCCAAGTGAGTAGCTTTGTCTGAACATAATGGAATATTATTTAAACGTCATGTAAGAAATTAATAATGTACTATATTATCTTACCCAGTGGTACTTGAACAGATGTATTGGGGAAGTACTAGGTGTTTGGCCCCACATACTAGAAACCCAAACATGTACATAAATACCGACACCCATGCCGGTGTTCATATAACACTGCCGACAACCCGATTCTATTTCTTTTCCCTGTCGAACAAAAACCCACCCAACCCTCATCCATAGTCATCCGCCTCTATCCCACATCATAATTTCATTGCTGACCTGAGAAAACCAGTAGCTAAATTGCTGTTGAAACCCTAATCCCAGTCGCATATCACTCCATCAAGAACCAATCAGCCTTTCCTACCCAATGCTAACTCTAAATATTCCAAAGTTACCGACCGACCAACTTCCCCTTTCTCCCATGACCTGCTGAATTCAGCACATAACCTTTTCTTATATCTAGCCAGCATATCCCAACTCAGGCCAACCACAAGCTAACTTCGCTGTCCACAGAAGTCTACCCCACCCTAGTCCAAACACCTTCTACCCTGCCCACCAAAGCTTAGTTGTACTTGTGTAGGGCCAGAGTCATCTGTCCCCCCATCAATGAGGGATAACTACCATTTTTCCTTCTTCCCTCATTGCCAGAGTGGGGTGGGGTAGACTTCTGCTGACAAAGGCATCACTTGCTATTTATCTTTTATGTTAACATTTCATAACACATTCAGTACTCAATTCTTTTTCTACCAGCAATCTCTTTATCCACAAAGCGCCACCAACCTCATTTGACCATGTTTGTCACACCTTCTAGTTGTAGTGAGTTCCAATCACAAATTTCAGAAGCATTAAGATGGTCGCAATGTTCATTTATTAAGCTAATAAACAAAAATAAGCTCCATATAATGAGAAGGATGGTCAAAAGAAATAGACACATACTTGGCTTACACTCTAACCTACTCCACATAAGAAACGAAGGTACAACCCACATAAGAAATAAAGGTACAACACTGCTAGCAGTATGCAGTGAGATTCCCCTCAAGCTGCTATCAGGCTTCAAGGTTTTGGAACAGCCTGCCAAGCAAGGGGAAAAAGGAGTGATGGATGACATTCAGCAAACACTCTTGAACCTTGCTCCAGATTTGTCCATGGATTTCATACCCATGATTTCCCATTACCTATGCAAAACACCAGCAGCATGGTCTAAACAGGTAAACCTCCTTTTTCCCAAAAGACAGGTAAAACATGACAATAGAGGGAGGAACGAGGGGAACATTCATAGCATGTAAAGGAACAATACTTTTCTAAGCATTGCACAGTCTAAGAATAGTAGCACAGCTACAGCAATTTACAGGCGGTTGGCTAATAGGCTACATACTAATAATGGTCTCTCAATGTTGCTAGTGAAATAATGGTGCCCCATGCCCCTAGTGAATGGTATGGCATGCCTGCGAGCGGAACAAGCCCTAATGTCATTATGTAGAGGCCTCAATCCTGTTTCTTCAAAATATAGAAACTGTAGGAATTCCAATCCTAATGACGCAGTTAGAAAACTCTTTGTGGACATAACAAATGGCAGATGAGTTATAAATCTAAGATCCCCTTGCATCAGCCAACAAGATCCAGCATAGTAATATACATAGAAAGAAGAGAATCACACCATTTTCAAAGCCCTTTTTGACAGTCTAGGATCTATGAGATCAATATGGTCATCTTGATACGCATCATCAGCTCCAGTTACCCAAGAAAGCAGCATAGATCAATTCATTTCCCAAAACCATTACAGCTATCTCTTGAGCTATGCCCATGTACCTTTGTAAGAGGTAGCATGAATTCATCCTTGACTGATGATTATTGAAGAAGTGGTCCATGACTAACTGCTCAAAAAGAAGAAAAAACCACCTTCTTAGGAAAAAAGGCTCCTCGAAAGGAGAATAGGAATTTGAGACAGAAGGCAGTATGTCTTTAGCCAAAAAGACGAAAAAGGGACATAGCCCAAGGGCTGAAGGAGTTAATGTCCACATCATCAGCTCCTTAGCAATTATTTAGCTGGAGAGTACAAATAATGAACCTGCATTTACAAGATGTTTATGCATACAACATCTTGAAAAGAAGAAAAAACCACCTTCTTAGGAATAAATGCTTCTCGAAAGGAGAATAGGACTTTGAGACAGAAAGCAGTCTGTCTTTAGCCCCAAAGATGAAAAAGGGACATAGCCCAAGTGCTGAAGGATTTCATGTCCACATCATCAGTTCTTTAGTACTTATTTAGCTGGAGAGCAAAAATATAAACCCGCATTTACCAGATGTTTATGCATAAAACATTAAAAAATCACTCAAAAAAATATTTGGTCACTGTTAAACAATTTGTTTTAAAGCTGTTAACCAAATAAGTAACGTGGCTAGGGCAGGAGAAATTTTGCATCATTACTCATACAACTCTAGAGGCAAAAAGTCTAAGTGAACAATGTGAACCAGTTAAATTAAACACAAAACATGATAACTAACAATAATTAGTTCCTCAGTTATCTTGGCGGTTGCCAGAGTATGGACATGGCGATGCTTCAGTTTATCATTGTACATTCATATAACATAAGACAATGCACCTATTTTAGGCAATGCACCTATTTTAGGCACTGGGTAACAGAGCAGAACAAACATGTTTCAGTCTAGAAATGAACCGTTAAATGATATACAGAAATCTTTATTTCCAATAAGTATGCAAATAGTACCTCTCTACCCCGATAAAGAAGCCAAACCAATGTGTTCAGAATATCAAAGCAAAAGTAGCATACCATTCATTACCTTTCCAAGCAAGCAGTTCATTGAAACAAGATAACCTTCCTTGAGAGTATGATTATTTCGCATCCCAGGAGCATCTAAGATCAGCCTCTCCTCACCAGTCACACTGCATTCCATACCTGCATTCCCATCACTCAATTTGTCTGATTGAGCAGTAACCTCCTCCGCATTAAGCAGATTTGTCACCTGCTTTAAGAAGTAACAGCCTCCTGTCTGAGCTTTGGCGTCGGTCGATTCTAAGAGCTCAAAGCAAGCCCCAAGTAGCTCTTTAGGGCAACAAAAGAAAATTCTTAATAGGCCCAACTTTTGATATGTAAACAATCTTTCCAACACTGGATTACTATCATCTGCCAATTCCTGCTTTAACTCAAAGAAACATTCTTTAGATTTTTGCAGGTTCTCAATTTCAAGATCGGTAACATGATAAATATCCTGACCTTCAAAGGTGGCAACAAAGTAACCAAGTACATTAAGAAATACAGCCGAACAAATGCCTTTAATAACAGATGATGTAGGAGCCACAGTTGAAGCAGCTAAACAGATATCAACCAAACCAAAAATGCAAACATCAGCAGTTTGGAATGCAACACCATCGGAGTCCTCTCCCCCTCTTATTATGCATAGGCTCCAATTGTACATATTGATTGCAACTGTAGCTGCAGCTTCAAGAGCAGTAGGGAAGTATAAAGCATAACGAGGAATAAGTTGAGCTACAATTCGTTGTGCACTCGTACAACCTACAAATATGGACAGTGCAACATGAAATCAGCTGCAAATTATTCAAATCCCAGTGATAATATTTTCTAATAAATCGTTTAGGCACGAGCTATGGAACTGGGACAGGATTCTGATGAAGATTACCAAGAGATTCGCCGGGAGCAGAAGCAGATGGTTATAGTAGAGATAGCATATGCAGCACTGAATTACACAAGGTACAGCGGTTGATAGATTGGCCAATAGACTAGTAACTAGGGATATCACAGGAATATGGGGCGCTTCTTATTACCAAGTCTAAGACATTTTCTTTACAGTAGTTTAAACTTTTACTTGTAAAAAAATTACAAGAAAAAAAAAAGGCTTAAACAATGTTAAGAAGCTGTTACATATTTGAGACGGTAATTCAAAATTCAATCTTTCATCAAACGTTCATAATGCAAATGAAAAGTTCCAATATTGAGCTAAGCTCAAAGGTTCAACACTTCAGATGTCAAGGATGCAAACTAAGTCAAAGATGCCATACAAAAAATATGTAAGAGAAAACACAAAAAACCTCCTCATCAATAAGTATTAGTGATGTCATTTAAAGTGAATGCTAAAATCAAAATAGTCATTCTGAGAATTTCAACTCTAAATCACTAACAAGGCTCAAAAGGGGGATAACCTTTTAATTTCTATTTACATTAGTACTTAAAAGATTTAATGTCGGTCGCTTCTGTTTGCGTACATTGTAACCAAATCTTGCAGAATCTTTCAGATGAAAAGAAATGAACAAATTCAATTTTTGAAATGAAAAAGTAATTTATGGAATAAACCCAAAAAAAAAAAACTTTACTAAACATTATACCTCTGAGAGTTTGATAATGACTAGTTTGATTTTACTTAACGAAAAGATCCAATGGAACTCTGTATCAATCAGGTTTTGAATTCAGTGTCAAAATTTGTTCACACGCACATATTTTACTTTTCAGTTCAATTTGAGGCACAATTGCGTAAATTGAACATGGACACCTTTATAATTTCATATAAATAATTATATCAACTTCTAAACCACTTTCACAGAAGCAAAAGAACAACTAAATCACAAACATGCACAAGTTCTTTTATTATTTTTGTTTGGAAATTAAATACTTACAAAACACCACCCAATTGTGGTGCTCAAAGGTCATCATCATCATCATCATCGGAGCCTGTTCCTAACTACTTGGGGTTGGCTACACGAATTATGGTCTGTCATTCTACTCTATCAAAGGCCATACCCTCAATGATGCCATAAGTCCCCATATCTTTTCTCACTACTTCCAACCATATTCTTTTGGTCTTATCCCTCGTCTTTTTTTAGTCTTCCATTTGAACTAACTCACACCTCCTAATAGGTGTTGCACTGGGTCTACGTTGCACATGACCAACCCACTTCAGTCTACTTTCTCTCATCTTATCGTATATTGGTGCCACATTTAAATTCTCTCGAATGTATTAATTTCAAATTTTATCCATTCTTATTTTTCACTCATCCATCTCAACATCTTCATCTCAGCTACACTCATTTTATGGATATGTTATTTTTTGACCGCCCAACATTCCGCCTCAAAAAGCAAAGGTATAAAGTAGCGCTCAGTTCAAAAAGGAAGACACCAGCCCAAAGGAGCAAGATGGGGAACATTTTATTTCCTTTTATTTCAATTTTCTTCCTTTTATAGAATTTTTTTTTGTTCTTTTAATTGATATTCTTCCTTAAACTTTAAATATTTGAATATATAGTGCAATCTTGACCATAGTTGTGGGAACGGGGTAAGGCCATGGTCCCACCTTAGCAACTCGATCCCATGGTTCTCTAAGGGATCTTAGAGGGAGCTGGATTTAGGGAAATAAGGATCTTGCTCCTTATGAAATAGAATCTCAGTTAGGGCTGGCAATGGATAAGATCGGGCCTGGTTTCGGGCCACTATCAGGCTCCTGGCAGCCATCATGGATTTAAACACCATTTTGGGCAGGCCAAGCTGTTGACGGACCGGCCCGAAAAAGGCCCATTTTGCCCAGAAGGTGAAATTGGCCTATAAACCAGCCCGGCCCGGCCCATTTAGCAGTTTTTTTTTTTAATTGTTTATTTCACTCTTCAATTTTTTAAAAAAATTTCACTCTTAATAAAAATTATTTTTTAATAATAGTAAGAAAAAAAAGATAACAATAACTTTACCTTCTCCCCCTTTCTCTCTCAATTTATGTTTTGCCCGCAAAAAAAAACCTAATCCCCTCTTTATCTAAACCTCTCTCTCGCCTCTACTCTATGAGGCTGTAACAAAGCCCCCCCTCTCTCTCTCTCTCTCTCTCGATAAACCCTTTCTCTCCTCTCTCCTCTCTCTCGCTCTCCTCTGTTCACAAAGCTGAAAGCCATCTCTCTCAGTAAACCCTATCTTTACCGCCCACTTAGAGAGAGAGATATCCTGGTTGCAATGGCAGAAAAGCTTCCATGTGATGGAGATGGCATGTGCATGGCCTGCAAGAAAACCCCACCAGAACCAGATTACATCATCTACGACACCTGTGAAACGCCATGGCATATCCATTGGTTTTTATCTTTTTTGTGATTTTTCTCTTGCATCTCACGCGCACACTCTTTGTGATGGAAGAGGAAGAGTGGGTTACTTCTTGTGATGTGTAGTATTCTCATCTTCTGGTGTGTAGCCCCAAAAAGTTTGGAGGGGTTGTTGAATTGGGATCCAAAGCCATTACAGGTGTGGGTGTTTGGTGGTTTTTTAGGATGAATTAGTGGTTTTGGGTTGTTTGGGTTGGAGAAGAGTGAGTTGGGTGGTTTTGTGTTTCTAGTGTCCAAGAGAGGATTTCGTTGTTTGGTTAGTGGGTTTGTGGTTTATTGGGATTTTGTTTTGGGTGGTTTTGGGATTGAATCAATGGTTTTGTGTCACAAAAAGAAGGCAAGTGACTGGTTTTGGGATTGAATTTTGAGTAGTAGAGAAGAAGATGGCTTGGGTGGGTTTGAGTTGGAGAGAGAAAAGAAATGGGTTGGGTAGCTCTGAGTTGCAGAGATGAAGATGAATTTGGGGGTTTTAGATGAGGGAAAGAGGGAGATAGGTTAGGTAGCTCTGAGTTGCAGAGATGAAGATGAATTTAGGGGGTTTGTGTGGGAAAGAAGGAGATGGGTTAGGTGATCGCTTCAAAATAGAAGAGTTATGAGACTTAGAGAAAGAGAAAGAGAAAGAGAAAGAGAGAGAGGTGGGGGAGTAGATTGGATAAGAGTCTCTGAGTTGCAGAGATGAATTTTTTGTGATTTTTCTCTTGCATTCTCACTCATACCCTCTTAGGACTTCAAACCCAAAAGAAAAATCGAGCTTAGAGAGAGGGCAAATAAGATTGGACAGGGCCAGGCCAAATAGGCCTTCTTATGTTTTTTTTTTCATTTCAACTTTTTTTTTTATTACTTCAAATAATAAAATTCCCAAGAGAAAGTAAATATAAAAAAAAGGCTGGGCCAAGATAGGCCCAATAGGCCTAACAGGGCCTTTCAACCTTTTTTGTCCTTGAAGGAAAGTCCCAAGAGAGAGAGTTACACAAAAAACAAATTGGGTCGCGCTAGGCCCAGAAAGCCTAATGGGCCTACCCAGTCTGGGCTTGGGCCTTTGTATACATTTTTCGGGCCAAACCAGGCTGGCCCGTTTTCTCTATGAATAACCGAGCCTATTTCCGGGCTGGCCCGAAACAAAGTCCGGGCAGGGCCAGTCCGAGCCTAGCCTTTTGGCAGCCCTAATCTCAGTCTACATGCTCGGAGGATCCCTCCAAGAAGAGAATCTATACTATTAATTGAACTACTACACTCCTTAGTATTATAGATTTATTTATTTAGAATATGTTAATCTGTGGTGCATATCATATTGTGGTATACTTGAATTATAGTATTAAAAATTACAATTTAATATCATAGCAAGCCAATCTATGATATTATTGAACTGCATTATTGTAGTAAATTTGAATACTATAACTATGGCATTGGCAATAAGATAAGATGTATGATAATGGTCGGGCAGGTATTCGCATGATCCTAATATTATCATATAGTAATAATTGATCTCGTTTTATGTACAGCGGATTATAAATCCCCACAAGCAAAACCTCACTCCCAGTGACATGAAATCTCGCTTCCCAATATCTTAGGATCTAGCTCCTTAACTTGATGAATATACAAACATCGATCTTAGCCCCATTAAGCTTCCACCCTACAGCGGTTCAGCATTCCCAATATGGATCCCACTCCCGAATCCGCTCCTGCCTCTAATAGCTATGATCTTACAAAAATACCTGTAAGTTTCATGGACAGAGTCCTACCTATGCAGTTTAGGTTAGCAAAGTATGAAGCACAAGAAGGGAATATTCTATAAGTTGCATATGACTTCAGCTACTTCATTATAAATCTCTCTCACCAAAAAACAAACAAAAAGGAAATAGAGTTGCAGGCTTGTAGGCATATAAATACCATGCTGGCATTGATGTTATCCTATGGGCACAGATGTATCCACTTGGGACCAAAACTCTCTCTCTCTCTCTCTCTCNTCTCTCTCGTCACTATACTATTACACTCGTACTACTACTAGTCGTACGACTTACGGACGTAAGTCCTTAACGGTCCGTAAACGTACGTACGTACGT